CGTAATGGAAATTAAATTTGCGTGTTGATTTACTTTTAGTGTCGATATGAATATTCTATTTAATACCTTTATTCCATTTAAGCTTGTGCACCAACAGACAACGTCCAAATGTATAAGAACAGAAAAGGGTCCGAAGGAGATGTGTTGTAGAACCTTTCTGGCGAGACAACCTCCGCAATTACCCCCCCCCCCCGATTATGCAGTTCAGGAGGTGGATCCCGAGTGGGTCCATCCATAGCTGAAATTATTTAGCGAGCGATGTTCTTTTTCTATGCCAGAATTGACGCTTTTTCCTTAAATCCCACAATGCACCATTCGCCACTTTAGAAACGAGAAGATAACTGGAGCCGGAGTGCGTCGCGCAATTGTTTCTGGGATCGTTACTGGGGACGCGCCAGTCAGCTATTGGCCAATTTTTTCCCTGTCCCAGAAGTCTTTGCGAAAGTTAACTTGTCCCAGTTTCCAACTCGTTTGTTAAGCGGCGAATTCTTGTTAACTATCTGCCGTATTTAGTTTTTGGCGTGTTTTGCAGGGATATGATATGGAAGATGCAATGATTCTCAATAAAGCATCCTTTGAGCGTGGATTTGCCCATGGGACGGTGCTCAAGTGCGAGGTATTGTAAGGCCAATGACTGCCTTGTACTTTGAAAAAAGTTGATGTCTTTAATGCTTCTGCGCGTGACTATTTTAACTTGTTGTCTCGATAATAACGACATAAAATTTACTGACGTTTAAGGTGTAAATTGTCAATTTTTTGAAGTTAAAATGACCTCTCCTGCACTTATAATCCCTTATGACTGAGATTGTAATTCTATCCGTCGGCTTCTTTTAGTTGTCTGTTATACATTTACAGCTGTTTCGGATAACAAGTGACCTGCGTTGTCAAAAATGGTTCAGGATTTTGGGTTTTTCTTCGACGTCAATCAAACCGTTGCCATAGCATCCAATCCTTGCCTGTCAAATAAAAGCAGTAATGACAGAAACACACAAAACGGATCGACATCCACCAATCAGAAATCACAAACCATGACCTTTTCCTAAGACGTCCGCTAAGACGATTGACGGCAGCGAAAATCGCGATTATTTTGATTGACGTCACAGAAAAACCCAAATCCAAAAACGTTTTTGCCATTGCAGGTCGCGTGTTACCAGAAACAGCTGTAGTGTATTTTACTGCCAAGACTGTGGGCTAAGAAACTTGTCATTTTGTTCCTTTTCTTCAGATAGTGGATCTTAATANGCATCCTTTGAGCGTGGATTTGCCCATGGGACGGTGCTCAAGTGCGAGGTATTGTAAGGCCAATGACTGCCTTGTACTTTGAAAAAAGTTGATGTCTTTAATGCTTCTGCGCGTGACTATTTTAACTTGTTGTCTCGATAATAACGACATAAAATTTACTGACGTTTAAGGTGTAAATTGTCAATTTTTTGAAGTTAAAATGACCTCTCCTGCACTTATAATCCCTTATGACTGAGATTGTAATTCTATCCGTCGGCTTCTTTTAGTTGTCTGTTATACATTTACAGCTGTTTCGGATAACAAGTGACCTGCGTTGTCAAAAATGGTTCAGGATTTTGGGTTTTTCTTCGACGTCAATCAAACCGTTGCCATAGCATCCAATCCTTGCCTGTCAAATAAAAGCAGTAATGACAGAAACACACAAAACGGATCGACATCCACCAATCAGAAATCACAAACCATGACCTTTTCCTAAGACGTCCGCTAAGACGATTGACGGCAGCGAAAATCGCGATTATTTTGATTGACGTCACAGAAAAACCCAAATCCAAAAACGTTTTTGCCATTGCAGGTCGCGTGTTACCAGAAACAGCTGTAGTGTATTTTACTGCCAAGACTGTGGGCTAAGAAACTTGTCATTTTGTTCCTTTTCTTCAGATAGTGGATCTTAATAAAATAGCAGGAACCGGCAAAAATTCAAGCCTAAGATTTGGTAAGGTGACTCATTCTCAGTATCATTTACTCACTGTTTTTAGATGGCACAAAACAGGGGTAAAAAAATCCAAAGATACCGGAAATCCTCTATTTAGCCCCCCGGGAGCTTATTTAAATCAAGCTCATTTGAAGGGGGGGTTTACAGAGATGGGTAACTTATTAGAGAGGGCGGCTTATTTAGTTTAAAAAAGACGATGGTATCAGTTCTCCACGAAAAACTAGAATACAAAGTGAAGAAGCTCAAGAACAAGAAGGTTGGAGGTCATGCAGCCGAGGAGCGGAATCAAATCCGAACTTCCAGTTGTTAAATAAACCATCCCGGATCAGTCCACACGAAGTTTTACAGTCATGATTGATTATTACAGTCTCTCATTTATTAGTGAAGAATACTTAGCGGTGGGGAGGGGGGGGCTTGATATAGGGATGGGGCTTATTTGAGAGGGGAGGCTTAATAGAGGATTTTACGGTGTTACATCGTTTAAAAAGTTAAGTTGCTGTATTTACAAGGTCTCACTGTGTTGTTCGTCTTCCAGCCAGGTGTTTCACACCCTGCTAGCAAAGCCTCTCTTTAACTCGCTCGATTTTGGCGTACTTGGGAAAGACTCTGCATGAATAGAGTGAAACCTTAGTTGAGCATGCGCTGCTTGATGCTGGAATACTGTTTTGAACCCAGGCCTAATAGCCGTCGCTTGCTACAACGGGCTTAGTTGTAACCATTAGTTTATCAGTAAACAGATGCTCGCACTCGGAAAATTTGTTTGACGATCGAGAACAAGATTGACTAGTCCAGACATCTGGGCTTTGGCGACTTCAAAGGCCCGACACGTTTCAGACAGAACCTCCTTTTCTCCTCCTCGATCATGAAGTCAAAAGGAGGCTCTTCTCGCAGTTTGGGTGTTTTGCTACTATGCGTCTGTTTAGACGCAAAGGGCACATAGATATCCATTTAATTGGGGGTGAAATGGGTAGGCTGTGAAGAGGTTTAAAATTAACTGAAGAGAGGTAACTAAGCAATGTTCATTCTATATTGGTCAATTTTGTTCCGGGGTGTTATCCCTTCCACTACCGATATATTCGGCCAGAAAAAAGATACCCCTGGAAATCAAGTTGCCCTATTGAACGAACATTAACATGTGGTCTTAAATAGTGTAATTTGTTCAAGGGGATTAGATTTCTGTGGCGTTCCATTGGTGGAACTAACTGGTTCATTATCTTTTATTGTTAAAGGTTGTCTTCCCAATGATGATCGGGTTCAGGGATTTCTAGACATAGATGGTCTTCCGCCAATTGGCGCCAAACTCGAGACAGGAAACCCTTATTACTGGTAAGAAACCGGTATAGCTAGAATGAAACTTGACAGACTGGTAGTAAACCGGTATATACTAGTTAGATTGTTGGGTATTGACAAATAACCTTGTAATTAATGATTAGCTGTATTTGCTTCTTAAAGTGTTCATGGCGCGAGCATGATGACATCATATTGTGCGTGTCATCTGATTGGTTCAGTGTAAAGCGTCACGTGGTTTCAGGCAGTGTTTTATCGTCTGTTAGTCACAAGGCGTCATTGCTCTAAGTCAGCATGATAAAATGTGAAGTCTGAATCTGGTCTTTGTGATCTTATCTTGTAAAACTAAACCAAACTGTTGTTACAACATTTCCTTAAGGAGGCCCTTGCAGAATACGGTCACATGATACAAAAACACCTTGCTGGATGGGAAACTCCCCAGTGAGACCTTGAAAAGAAAGGATATTAGCTTTTTAAATGATGTAATCGCTTTATTAATCTTGCCCTTCTGCGTCGTTTGCCATCCACCAAGGTGTTTTTTGCACCATGTGACCGTATTCTGCAAAGGGTTCATAGAATTGAATCTAGTCATTTATCCTTGTTTGGGTTTTTTGTAGTTATATTGATGATAACACTGGCAAGGCAGTCATAAAGAAATACAGCAGCTTGGAAAACGCTGTAGTTGACGATGTAAGAACCTTTTGTTGTTCAGTACACGTTCTGTTTCAGTTCTGTTTTAAAAAAGACTCCATCGTCCTTGTGAACGCGTTTGCGATCTTTTGTGGTTGGTTTCAGGTAAAAATTCTCGGTAATGATGACGGTACTGGAACACTTCAGAGAGTTTCTATTAAACTGAGGATTCAGGTCAGTCTATTTGTTTGTTTGTTTGTTTAGTTTTTCTCATAAACAAAAGCAAAAAGGCCCGTGAAGAAAACCAAAGATCCTACGAATGAGACGCAGACTGCGCGTTCTTAAAATGAGGACTACCTGGAGATTTAGAAGAGAAAAAGCTACTTTGAAAAAGAATAGAAAATGCGCCCGGAGCGTGACCTAAACTTTCTCGCGTTGTTTGGAGAAGGGGATGTTTTGTCCCGGGGAGGGGAGTTCTCATATAAAAGTGACGACGATGCTCTTCGTCTCGCTTTTGGGTGTAAACTGCAGTTTTTGGCCTCACCTAGGGTGTTTGGGATGGAAAGTCACTACATTTGCCCTTTCCGGTATCGCTTAGTACTGTGACGCACATTGACCACACAGAAATCTCCCTTAGGGGTCAGTTTAAGCTTGAGCCACACCCACATTGGTCTCCTTTGGGAGTTTAATTTGAATTTTCCGACGAGCAGCTCCGTCACTTTTATTTGGGAGTTCCCCCAGGTGTTTTGTGTTCACAGTAAATTTCCCAAACTATTGTAGTGTCCCCGCCATATCTGGCGAAGGTTATAAGTGCACCTAGTTCAAAATTTGCTGGATAATACGCGCGGATATCTTACAATGTGCGTAGTGCTTTTCCAAGCCTCGCGGAGCAGAGAAAATATGCGAGCTATGAGTAAAATGTCTCAGAATCGCGCTATACTGTATGCTAGTGATGGGTTTGAAATTCCTAAGCATTTTAGTGGTATTGCTACCGTTTTCAGTCCCGACTCGCATCATCTTGTGGTACAAATTTTTTTCGATTTTTTTTTCATTTCAGAGAAACCCGATTATAGGAGACANCTCCCTTAGGGGTCAGTTTAAGCTTGAGCCACACCCACATTGGTCTCCTTTGGGAGTTTAATTTGAATTTTCCGACGAGCAGCTCCGTCACTTTTATTTGGGAGTTCCCCCAGGTGTTTTGTGTTCACAGTAAATTTCCCAAACTATTGTAGTGTCCCCGCCATATCTGGCGAAGGTTATAAGTGCACCTAGTTCAAAATTTGCTGGATAATACGCGCGGATATCTTACAATGTGCGTAGTGCTTTTCCAAGCCTCGCGGAGCAGAGAAAATATGCGAGCTATGAGTAAAATGTCTCAGAATCGCGCTATACTGTATGCTAGTGATGGGTTTGAAATTCCTAAGCATTTTAGTGGTATTGCTACCGTTTTCAGTCCCGACTCGCATCATCTTGTGGTACAAATTTTTTTCGATTTTTTTTTCATTTCAGAGAAACCCGATTATAGGAGACAAATTTTCCAGTCGACATGGACAAAAAGGAATTTGCAGGTAAGCTCTTCGGTCCAAATTTTCTTCTCCTTAACTAAAGGTGAATACACTACCACGAGTTTAACCTGTGGCACCGAGAAAGTAGCTGTGTAAATGAACAAACCACATAACCAAGAAAGCATTCGTTCCCTAAACTCCTTTGTCATGTGTTAACCAATCATAGCTTGCGTGGTTACATATTTTCCCGCCCTTTTCGCGGTTTCCTTACTTCTTTAACCCACTCTGATTGGTTCTTCTAATTTTTCGATTACGCTTTCCTTTTTGTTGCAGTCAAAAATGGCCAATTGAAAACATGCCGTTTACAGAATCAGGAATGACGCCAGATATAATTTTCAACCCTCATGGATTTCCCTCGCGTATGACAATAGGTAAGAGGTCACTTCTCTCCATCACATCGAAGATCATCCGGCGACGTGAATTACCCAAAGCTCTAACGAAGATATTATATGTAATAAACAAATATATGATATGATGATGCCAAAGGTGTCAGAAGCCTAAAATAGGCTTCTGTTTCTGTAGGTGTTAGTTATAAAAGACAAGCAAAGTCACTCTGTGGAGGTGCCCCTTCCCCTCCCCCCCCCTCCCCCCTCGATTGGGGGTGGTTAGTTTTGGTTAGTTTTAAACAAGATGGCAGATAATTTTATTAAGAGTTCTTGAAATACAGCAAAAAAAGTGCAGTATTATAGCTGACGGTTTCGGTTTACGGCTAAATATAATGGCGTTTTGCCCAGAACACCCTAAGGGAGACCAAAATCCCAAATTTACCTCCCTAAGCGAGACGAAAAGCATCCCCGCCCCTTTCATATGGAAGTGCCCCCGAGACTTCTCCAACAGCAAGACGTATATGTTTGTCTTCTCTTCCGCAGGAATGATGATAGAAAGCATGGCAGGCAAATCGGCCAGTCTCAATGGAACAGTGTATGATGCTACACCGTTCACATTCTCAGAGGACGATCCTGCAGTGGATTACTTCGGAAATCTCCTCAAACAATGTACTTTCAACGTTTTTTTTCTTTCTTTAGTTGATCACTTCAAATGAGTATCGCTGAGGAGGTTTGCACCATAAGATTTCATCCACAGGCTTAAGGAGTTTTATTTTATTAAGAAGAGACCCTTTTGCTTTTAACAACAACAAATTTTATTGAAATTCATTGTATAACTAATTATTTTCCCTCCCGTTAATAGCTTATGAACTAATCGAGGAGGGCGAAGCTAAGGACATATTAGAGAGATTAAGATTCACGTGTACGCCAAACGGCAGACGTGAATTTACACCACGTGACCAAGTTTTTCTCCATATTTTCCGCTTAACCTTATCCCCTATCACTTTCGACGCCTGCTACGCAGGCTAGCTTACCCTTTATTGCTTCTACGCAAAATAAGTAGTTTTATGCCAGTTTTTATCTGCTTATTTGCTATTCTGAGAAATTCTCAACTTGAGTCTGACGTTTGCCGTTTGCGGTAAACGTGAATCTTAATCTCTCTATTTACAACACAGGTTTATTAGATGGGCCAAACAACAATGAAAGACGTTGCAATACAATAAATAGAATAAACTAACATTTAAAAAAAACATAAAACAATAAGTAAATAACGGTTACGAAGAGAAACTAAGATAATGTGTTAAACTCAGGCATAGTGTACGACAGGAAGAAACATATAAACGAAAGCCAAGAGAACAACAAAACATTCACACACGTCTATTCATCTTGGTCAGCTCACGTGACTACGCGACTCCTTTTTTTTTTTAATTGATGAGGATCATTTGGAGAAATCCATCGACACTGCTGAAAAGAGCGCCTTAATGTTAGTATACTTGCCAAGTTTGAAAGTGATTCGTCTGAAGCGAGCGTAGATATAGCTCTCCGAAGTTGAGGAATTTTGCAGTTGCTTCCCTCTACCATACAAACGTCTGTAAAATGTTGCGACTTTCCAGTGGTATATCTTCGTTACTTTGCAACAAGTGTCTCTCAAACTTGGCATATTTACTATTTTAGGCTCTCTTTTCAGGCGGTGTCGACGAATTTTCACCAACTGATCCATGTAAAAAGTTGAAAAACCGTGGAAGGGTCTTTTAAGTGCTGGCCCCGTTTTTCGCGTGAAAAAGATGGAGTTTTCTCTTTCTTTTTCTAGCTGGTTACAACTTCTATGGCACAGAAAGGATGTACAGTGGGACAGATGGCAGAGAGTTTGAGGCAGACATCTTTTTCGGAATTGTTTATTATCAAAGGTTGAGGCACATGGTGGCCGATAAGTATCAGGTACCCACCCCTCCCCTCCTTTCGTCTGTTGTCCTCTCCCATTCTCGTTTGAGTTTTGCACCATGCCATAGATGATGACGTCATGTTTTGCGTGTTATTTGTCTGGCTCGTAAGTTTGAGTTACGTAATGTACAGTGCATGCTGCCATTTCTGGCGTTTTTCGGTACTGATAAATTCGTATGGCTTTCAAATCAAATAATCTACTTTGTACTTTTCTTTCTATTTAACAAATCGACCAAAATTTTCCATGGTGTACACTCTTATAGACCATAGAAATGACGTCATAAAATGTTTAAAACACAAGTGTTTCACTGTAAAGTTTTGAACATTTTATGGCGTCATTTCTATGGTCTATAAGAGAGTAGACCGTGGAAAATTGTGGTCGATTTGTTTTTTACAAGTCAAAAGTATGGTTGACAATGTGCGACGTTCCAAGTTGTCTTTTTATTTTGGTCCATTTAGGTTCGAACAACAGGTCCAATAGACATTTTGACTCACCAGCCAGTACAGGTAACGGAAAAAATGTTCATTATTATCATTAGTTATTATCATCACCGCCACCACCACCATTGTTAATTACTATTTAGTTTTATTTAAGTATGTGTTTTTGCATCATTGGATTTTGGTGGAAGTATTGTCGTTATGGTTGTCTTTCAATTTCTGTTCGTTTTCATTTAGTTCCGCATCTGGAAAACCAAGTAGTAGCAAAATAAAATATCAAACAGTTACTTCTCCTCTTGTCACACAACCCACCAGTACGTGATGACATCACTTTATGCGTGTCATCTGAGTGGCTAAGGGCANATAATCTACTTTGTACTTTTCTTTCTATTTAACAAATCGACCAAAATTTTCCATGGTGTACACTCTTATAGACCATAGAAATGACGTCATAAAATGTTTAAAACACAAGTGTTTCACTGTAAAGTTTTGAACATTTTATGGCGTCATTTCTATGGTCTATAAGAGAGTAGACCGTGGAAAATTGTGGTCGATTTGTTTTTTACAAGTCAAAAGTATGGTTGACAATGTGCGACGTTCCAAGTTGTCTTTTTATTTTGGTCCATTTAGGTTCGAACAACAGGTCCAATAGACATTTTGACTCACCAGCCAGTACAGGTAACGGAAAAAATGTTCATTATTATCATTAGTTATTATCATCACCGCCACCACCACCATTGTTAATTACTATTTAGTTTTATTTAAGTATGTGTTTTTGCATCATTGGATTTTGGTGGAAGTATTGTCGTTATGGTTGTCTTTCAATTTCTGTTCGTTTTCATTTAGTTCCGCATCTGGAAAACCAAGTAGTAGCAAAATAAAATATCAAACAGTTACTTCTCCTCTTGTCACACAACCCACCAGTACGTGATGACATCACTTTATGCGTGTCATCTGAGTGGCTAAGGGCAGTGTGTCACGTGATATTAGCCAGTGTTTTATTGGTTCTTATCGTGGGACACACTGTGCTCATTGGTCAGTATGATAACACCAACAGTCTGATACTGGGCATTCTATAATATAACTGAGCATAAGATACATAATTATTAGTGTTGTAGTCAATGTAATAAGTTCGCTCTACTCCGCCTTTCCCAACAAAAAATACCGCAAAAAAAAAACAAGAAAAACAAGAAAAAACCTGTCCGTTACCTCAAGTGAAAAACCGCGAGAGAAAATGTCTTTATAAGCCAGCTCAAGATAACGTTTACTTTCGAATCCCTTTCTTGTCAATAAAGAAGGAAACTGTCTGTAGAAGAAAAGTTTTTTCACCAACACTCAGGGTCTCTAAAAAACAAGGGAGAAAGTGCTGCCTTTGTGATGACATCTCTAAACGATTTGACTTTCTAGTCTAGGATCAGGACGATAAACCGTAGGCCCCATCTCACAAGGCTTGCACATATAATAAATTCTGTGGGATGTTAAAGAACCCACACACTGTTCGCAAAAAATAGGGGACGTAGTCCCCGATGTGGTGGTCTATCTCCAATTCACACTCACATGGGGGACATCATTACTCATCCCTTCATTACTTGTAAACTGTACCATAAGCAGTCTGGCAAAAGTCCCTCGAACAGCCATGAGGGGAGTGGATAATAAGATATCCACAATTTACTTTGTGTCAGGGTCGTAAAAGACAAGGTGGCATTCGTTTCGGTGAAATGGAGAGGGACGCTCTGCTGGCACATGGAACATCTTTTCTCTTGCAAGATCGTCTCATGAACTGCTCGGACAGAACAGTGGTAAGAAACTTTGGTACAAACAGTAGAGAGTTTAATCTTCACGTATACGGCAAACGGCACTAACGTCAGATTCAAGATGAGAATTTCTCAAAATAGAAAATGAGCATATGAAAACAGCTCCAAACAATTCTTATGGATAAAAAATTACGTGGAACTTCCAATTTATGTGTAGGAATAATGAACAGTAAACGACAACTAACGAGGAAACTTGGTCACGTGGTACAAATTTGCGTTTGCCGTTTCTCGTAAGCGTGATGCTTAATCTTTCTCTTATTTTAGCCAGTGACCACCATCAATTTTCTCCTAACAATATCCATACATCATCAAGAGAACAGTTTACGAGAACTGATAAAATGATAACCAAGGGGAAAATAAGCTATGATTTTTTTTATCAAATTCTCTCATTATAGGAAATATTTGACTAGTCTAGGCTTTATATGTGGATATTAGAGAGCTTAAGGTGACTCGACCCAGTTTTTTTGGGGGGGTACCATCCTACTTTGAAGCTCTCTGGTATCCCCACCTTTACTTTTATCGTAAGTCTAACACATAGAATGGATAACATATAGATCAATCTACAATATAACATAAAATTTTTGGCGATCGGAGTAAATGTCACGTGGTTATAATGCCACGCCCCTTTGAGGTCTGAGTCGAAAATCTGCTGTTGCCGGCATTTTTTCGTGAAAATCTCTCGGCTACACATAGTGCGCATTAGTGCCTTGCGCTGAACAGAGTTTCACCAAAATCGCAAAGACCCAATTCGAGAAATTCAGCGGTTTCCAAATTTAGGTCATAATTTATGCGAAAATGATAAGCAAACTTTACACGGATTATATCTAATAAACTATGAGATTCATCTCTTTATTTTGGGCATCGTTATAACAGATGGGTCCTTGCAAGTCAGCAAAACGCTTTAGGGCCTTGTAAATGCGCGCGATTTCGAGCAAAGCAAACATATAGAAATTATAGTTTTCGCTATTTGTTGACGTTTGTCAGCGTTTAAGAGTCCTTCTCACGAAAAAAGCATTTTCTTAAAAATTCGTAGTTTTTTTTCCTTCAAATTTTTTCAGGGCCACAATTGATTAACTAACTACCCGGACTCTGAATTTCATGGTCATTGAAAAACTGTGACATTATCTTCTATAAGCCCAAACTTGAGTAAACATTGAAGATTTTTAGCGTTTTGGCTGAGTTTGTGCTTTGGGAGTTGTCTATTGTTTCTAGTCTGTCATTATACAGCATTCTTGTTCAGCACGCGTGCAATGACCGCGCTTGGCTGACTTCCGAATGCTCACCGAGATATAATAATTTTGGTACAGTGAGACAGGCCATCGCGTGATACATAGAGGTTTAAGTCACAATTTTTAATCAATTCTCGTGCTTCTTGTGCCTTTGCAAAAAAATCAAGAAGTGCTACACACTAAATCTACTTACTATTAAAAAAATATCATTTTTTCATAGGTTTAATGCAAGCCAATAATTAAACCAACTCGTGACGGGAATATCTCGGTGAGCATTCGGAAGTCAGCCAAGCGTGGTCATTGCACGCGTGCTGAACAAGAATGCTGTATAATGACAGACTAGAAACAATAGACAACTCCCAAAGCACAAACTCAGCCAAAACGCTAAAAATCTTCAATGTTTACTCAAGTTTGGGCTTATAGAAGATAATGTCACAGTTTTTCAATGACCATGAAATTCAGAGTCCGGGTAGTTAGTTAATCAATTGTGGCCCTGAAAAAATTTGAAGGAAAAAAAACTACGAATTTTTAAGAAAATGCTTTTTTCGTGAGAAGGACTCTTAAACGCTGACAAACGTCAACAAATAGCGAAAACTATAATTTCTATATGTTTGCTTTGCTCGAAATCGCGCGCATTTACAAGGCCCTAAAGCGTTTTGCTGACTTGCAAGGACCCATCTGTTATAACGATGCCCAAAATAAAGAGATGAATCTCATAGTTTATTAGATATAATCCGTGTAAAGTTTGCTTATCATTTTCGCATAAATTATGACCTAAATTTGGAAACCGCTGAATTTCTCGAATTGGGTCTTTGCGATTTTGGTGAAACTCTGTTCAGCGCAAGGCACTAATGCGCACTATGTGTAGCCGAGAGATTTTCACGAAAAAATGCCGGCAACAGCAGATTTTCGACTCAGACCTCAAAGGGGCGTGGCATTATAACCACGTGACATTTACTCCGATCGCCAAAAATTTTATGTTATATTGTAGATTGATTTATATGTTATCCATTCTATGTGTTAGACTTACGATAAAAGTAAAGGTGGGGATACCAGAGAGCTTCAAAGTAGGATGGTACCCCCCCAAAAAAACTGGGTCGAGTCACCTTAAGCAACAGCGTTTTTGAGCGACGGACGTCAACCGGAAGTGGACTTTTTGCATCATGGGCAGTGGATTGGTTCAAAGTCTCGGGCAAATCGTTTTTATAAGAGAAAAGAAACTTAGCAATACAAATTTGTTAGAGTCAAGGCATATAAAAGAGAAGAAGGCCTCACTTCCGGTTGACGTACGTCGCTCAAAAACGTCTTTGCTTAAGCTCCCTTATTTGGGCTTAGCGAACCCGTGCTTTCGCGAGTGCGCACTATTCCGCTGGTTCCGAAGATTTCCGAAATTCACCAGCGAAACACAGTGACCGGGGAAAATACGAATATAAAAAACGGCAGTATTCCAGTCTAAGTGTATCGCACTTTAAACTTTTATTACAAGAAAACTTACAAAGATGGATCATGAAGAGCTCTGTCTTCTTAAAGATTGCCTAAGGGCTGGTATACAAGGTAGTCGCTTAGGGCACAATTTTCAAATTACTCGACAATGTTCATATATCTTTAACCTTCTATCCCCTCCCCCAGGGTCAGGTGTGCACAAAGTGCGGAAGCATACTCTCCCCTCTCCTGGACAAACCCGCCGTGGAAGTGGCAGCTGCGGCTGCGCACAAAGAGCGCAAGTGGACTTGTAAAGTTTGTGAAAGCACGGAACATATTCAGCTGTTAGCATTCCCTTACGTGTTTCGCTATCTTGTGGCTGAACTCGCCGCGATGAACATCAAGGTCGCGTTGGACGTGAAGCGAGTTGGAAGTGAGTGAATTGTACGTGTAAAGAGAAAGCCGCGTGGAAAAAGGCTCACTCCAGTGCGGGGGGCTGTTACCCCGGTGATCAGGAATACGTCATTGTGTAAACCTCATAAAGTGTCTCATGGGGTTATGAGCTACAGAACAAAATGCAACCCGTTGAGGATCAAGCTGAACGTCAAAGTCGCTTTGGATGTGGAGCGAGTTGGAAGTGAGTGGTTTTAAATTTACAAGAGGATACAAGGAAAATGGTACACTCCAAATCGGCGAGTCTGTTACCTTAGTGACAAGGAATATATATGACATTGTGTAACCTCAAAAAGTGTCTTAAGGGTTTGAGATATGGGATCTTATAGTACCCGTTGAAGAACAAGACGTGTAAAGAGTCGGATTTGAAGGGATTATTTCCAGGAAAATGATGACGCGCTTTAAGGTGTGCTTTAAGAACAAGTTTGCTTAACATTCATACTTTGGGCGATAAGGGGTGAAGGTGAGAATAAGTTTAATGTCGACATGAATATGAAAACTTTGACCATGAAAACGTAAAAGCGAGATTATCAGTTACTTGTTCCAGGATTCGTACAGGTCATGGAAAACCTGGAAAGTCATGGAATTTAAGAATGTCATTTTCAAGGCCTGGAAATTCATGTAATTTCATTGTCGGTCCTTGAAAGTCATGGAAAATTAAAGTTTTGTTTGGTAGATGGAAAGTCATGGAACATGATTTGAAGAAGTCTGTGTTCGGCAACTCCAGGGTGTGGCTTTGACACCTTGCGGATCATGGAACATTTCAGCATGACAACCAGGGATGTGGACGTGAAAAGCTACATTAGCAATAAGAGTAATTGAAATGCTGAGGAAATCCTAGGTGGGGCATCAAACTAAGAGAGTAAATTTTTTGAGTTAAATGTTCACGTCAGACGCAAGCTTTTTGGTGGAGGCGTCACCATTTATGCAGATGTCGCCACGGGATGACGTCAAGTTTCCGTTGAGTGCTAGCCCAAAATATATTTTATGAACTGAATGAAGGGAGTGATATCCTTTGTAGCTTGCTCGAGATTTTTTTCACCTCCTTAAAATGATCGCCCAATGCTTTCAAAATGTAAGTGCATTGGAAACAGCCACCACGTTTTACTGACTAGAAGTGCCATGAGTTCATAGAGGATAAAAGTCATTCAACTCACACGAGATTGACAACAGTATGCCAGAATCAAAGATTTTAATCACGTTAGTTTATAGAAAAAGGCAACATACAAGGTTAAAACAGTAGTTCGTCACACGACTTCCACATTTAGCCAGTGTGAAGAAGTGTCTTCAAATTTTGCTCTGTTCTTTCACGCGAGTCACCCCAGTCATCTCTCAGTCAATTGTGGCTGATAATCTCATGGACTGGGGTGAGTCAGTTCAGTCACAACGGAACGGTTTAATAGTTTGTTGTCTATCAAGCAACGTAAGAAATAAACTCTACAACATAATCAACATGTTACCATAAAGTATTTTAGAGGAACAACGAAAGCGTAAAGAGTTAACGCACTACTCTGATGATTAAAATTAACGATATATATATATATATATATATATATATATTTGTTTAATAAAACCCGAGTTAAAAGTCAAGGATTAAATTGTACTGCAGTCTTTCTTGAAGTAAGGCAAATTTTCGTGCACAGTACTTCATTCAGAACGCAAACACCGTCCCGCCCAATTCTAACTTCCTTTTTTTCACTTAATTGTACCTTTCCGTCACGATTAGAAAACTACAAAAAAAGGTATCACAGTTCTTCGTTTCCTTAATTAAGAATTTAGGTAATTTCAAGCTGAATTCGGGTCCATTTTGGATTCGCGTCCTTATCGTCCGAAAAATGCGATTCAAAGAATAAGGTCTTATGAAGCAGATTAGTCCCAACAAACATTTTTTTAAACTCTCTACTGCTTCTCCTCATCCCAACCATTCCAGCGATTTGTTCACTTTCAGCCTCTGAATTCACTTGTACGTAATATTTATTGAATTATTCTGCTGTCCCTAAGAAGGCTAACCTAAGACAGAAGACATTGCTTAAGCAATGAAAGAAACTTTTTCCATTCTCTTTGGAAGGTACTTCTTCTTTCAGGTAAACTGGATCCTTGATTATGCCTTCACCTCTTTGCTCTTTAATAGTGTATTATTTTCATTCCTATCCAGTGCTTAACTGATCCGAATTGGAGGCAGTGAATTTTCTACCAAGAATTTTGGCATTTCCAGCGATAAAAATCTCAAAAAGGGTACGACGATGCGATAACGTACGTCTTAGAGGAAACGGCAAGGGTAGCCAATGTGACAATGAATATGTATTTCCGAAGGGTATAAGAACAGAAGTGTGAACACTACCGGGTAAAAAAAAAATATTTGTACCGTTTTAAAAGGACGTGACGGAAATTGCACAGCTTTCGTACTACGGAAATTACAATTAATTATAGTTAACATATTTTACGTGCGTAAAAAGAAGAATGCACAGGATTCCGCATGGCTACTCCCTTAAGATTAACAAAAAACACAGAGAGAGGGACTCTCCGCAAAGCTGACAGTTGTTAGCTGTTAAGCGAAAACTAAAGAAACCCCCGATCTAATAATTACCTTATGCTTTTGTAACCTTTACCAGACAGCCATGTATGGGCACTCAACTGTACGTCCTGCGTTTTGACTCCCCGGCAAAGAAAACAATCCACTGCCATGCGGTTACATCCACACCCATGCCCATCAAAACACATTGAGGACTTTCGCGATAAGCCAAAGGTGAGAGTTTGATTGCAGCGGACTTAATAATTATTGATACACTTGGCATTAATACGACCCCGTAAGTGTCAAGCTTGATTATGAGTAGAAGCACTTTTTCTTTTTTACGTGTGTCTGTTGAGGTTTTACAAGTTCCTCTGGCCGTTCTCGTGCAGAGAATAAAGAAAATACTGTATATCACAATAATTACATGTATGTTAAGACATCTTCCAGCGATGTCTTCCGAACTTCTGTGTAGCTTAAAACATTCTGAATAACTTGTTGACGACTCACAGCCCAAATCTTTCAGCTCTCTTTTTCTTTTTGGCCTAGAAATAAGCACAGAATAAACGTTTCTTAGCAACAATACAGAGAGTTTAAGATAAAATAGTTACGTAACAACAGGTTTGTCTACTTTAACCTAAGTTAAATGCGAAACAACGCTGATCGGCGGCCTCCCCTGTCGCGAGCATGCGGAGTGGTCAGGGGTCTGCTGTGGGTCACGTGGTTTTACAGCAACGGGCACAGGAACGCTGTTCAGGTCAACTCAATCTCACGTGCGCTGTGCCTGTTTTCGTTTGTGCTCAACAAATTGACTCCCTGCCCTCCCTACTTCTCTGTGGTAAGCATGAGGTAAGTATTATTGTTCCGCTGTTTTTCAGTGTGACGGTGCCTGGTGGTTGTCACTCACAGGGTTGTCAAGGTTTTCGTACTTGTCGGCTCTTGTACTCAGTGGCTCCACCATCTTACCAGGCATCTTCCCCAAGCTCATCTATTGTCAAGATGAGTTTAAATGACTGTTTAAAGGGGCTGTGTCATGGCAGTACAGTTCATTTTGCTTAATTTTGCCAATTACTCGCCCTCAATCGCTATGAAACTTAAAGTAAGCATAGAAATTTCATGTAAATAACAAAATCTGAGATCCGAGACAAACCGATATGTCTCCTGAGCATTATTTTTGAAGTTGCAAGCAGCAGGGATCAACTTTGAAAGACTGTTAGGCTGAACAGTTTCCAAAAACCCTAATTTCAATCCGTTTCAATCTTCTTCAGTTTTGCCCATCCGTGGCACCTGCTGTTTCTGTTGTGTTATTTTAACCTTCCTTTAATGTTTTAAGCGGTTATTTTTATGTTTCTCCTAATTTAACGGGCATTTTGTAATTTTCTAATTTGGCTGAATTTCGTGACACAGCTCCTTTAAGGGGATAGGTGACGAGGATATTGCTGTGCTGAAGTCAGTTGTACAGTTATGAAGAAGAAATCAAAGAAATTTCATCAGAGAGCAGCAACTTTATGCTTTTTTGGTGATTTTTGCAGGCGTAGTATGAAAACTTGGCCCAATTTTTTTAAGTTTAAATCCATGCCCATCCTTGCAATCCATAGCAACAGACAACAGGAAACAGTTTTAATATCTAAAATAATAATAGTCTTAACAAAACTGTAACATCAGTTTTGGAATTCAATTGATGTACAGACACGTTTCATTTTTAGCTCAAATGATAGAAAATAGCATGACATAGTCGCCATAGCGACACAAAACTTACATCGGCATCTGTTGATGGAGATGCAGATACAGTAACACCAAATCTCTGTTTCCTCTTCAATAATTTATCTTTCTCTTCAAGCTGGGAATCAAAAAATATATATATATAGCTGGGGATTACTACATCATGTATAAAAGGTTTTTGCGCAAGACGCAAAAAACCAAGAGTAAATAACAAAAATAGTGTTTCATTTGAGCTATGAGTACCTTGGTCACCACAGGAGAAATTGCACCAAATCTCTCAGCTCTCTGCTTAAGTTTCTCAACATCCATGCCCTGGGATTAGAAAGACAAAATAACTTATTTCCTTGAATAAGTAGAGGATATCACACAGAAGACATCGATAAAAAATTGAGGGAAATTACCGAAATTATGTCATCGATTAACTCAAATGTGAGATTATGGAAAATAAACCACTCGGTCCCGGATGTAGTTTTTATGAATTTTACGAGTATAATAAAACAAAATATTATTGGCACGACTTCCAGTATTTGAAATAATTGCCTCCCTCAAATAATTGCCCCCTTTCTGTGCGAAAAAAAGTAACATCTCCCCCTGCTATTATTTGAGGAAATACGTAAGAAGAAGCATGCTGAGTTGTGAAGGGCCTATTCTTTCGTGACAACAGGTACTTAATGACAATTACCTTCGGTGAAACAATTGGAGAACTTATTTTGGATCCATTACTTGTAGGGCTGGATAAACCAAACCTGAAAAAAGTAACAACAAGAGAGAACTATCTGTATAAACCTGAGGTAAAATTATGTAGAGAAGATCATCCTGGTTATAGACACAACTTTTACGGCTGAGAAAAAAGAAAGTCTAATAAAATTCAAGCTTGTAAGCCATTTGGAACCTTAATTAACACTGCTTGTGACCAAGTTATCATGACTCTTCATTTTAGAACATATTTTTTGTGACTGCTACCACTTTTTACAGCTTGGTCGAGAACAATATTGCAGAGCCAAGTGTTTCTTATCAAAGGGCACATGTATGATAGAGTAATGCTTTTAACAAAATTCTATCATGCACTGAACTCAACTACACCATGTCCCGGTCACACACATTCACCAAGCTTAAGCAGATTTACATGTGCTAACATACCTCTGGGCTCGAGCCTGTTTTTTATCAGCTTCTGTTGATGGGGAAGACTGACCAAATCTTGCCAGTCTCTGGGCCTTTTTCTATTATAAAACAAAAACTGTTATCTGTGAGTTAAAGCTGTTGAAAAAAATTAATTATTGATACCTGGTTTGCAAACCCTCACGAAACTCGATGTGCCACTTCAGTTAAGCCCTGCTGGGTATGGTGAGAAACTGGTTGGGTGATTAGCTGCAAATATCCTCTTGTAATCGCACCGTTGTACCAAACCTTACAGTGAAATAAACCAACCCTTTAACTGGTAAAAACAAGAGTGGTGAGTCTAAAATACAGGTCACCATGTTACAGACAAATAAACAGCACCAAAAGTGTCTCCTAGCCCAGATCTCTTTACGAAATGATCTTTTAAATTGAAGGGAAACTGTGTGGCTAAATAATTATCAACCTGTGGAATGTGTCCTGTACTTTAGACCCGTCAATTCATCTACATTGAGTAAATAAAAATATACAAGCCACACAAACTAGCCACATAATCATCATTGGCTAAAGGGTCAAATAATGTGAAATAATGCATTCACCTGTTCATCTGTCAGTTTTACTTCACCAGGCTTCTTTTCTGGAGGTGTGACAGGTACCCTTTTACTGGGAAATGGGAAAACAAAAAAATTAGAAATACTCTCAGAAAAGCTTTGAAAATGAACAGTGTAATGCTAATACACAAACAAAGACTATTGACAGTCTCCTTTTTTCCATAAGATTATTGGGATCAAGCACCTACCCATATAATCGGCCATCTTTGTTTCAAATATACTTACTCTAGCCTGGGGGTGAGTATTGGCATCACCTCTACTTAGGGGGGTGGGAGGAAGCGATTTCTTTCTTTTTCTTGCCCTATTTCTCTCATCTCTCCCCCACCCCCCAACCACTATAACTCTTCAAGCCTAAACCCTAAGTACAATAAAAATCAAGATGGCAGCCCATAACGATAAGCACCTGACCTTCATGATCTTATGGAAAAAATAGGAGACTGTGAACAGTCTAATATGCACACTATGGTGACAACATATGTGCTACATTGTAGAGAGACGCTCCAGGACAGGGCCTTCTCTTGTGTCAACCCCTCACTGTGGAACATTCTTCCTGTAGCTATCAGAAGTATATGGAATGTTCAGGGTTTTAAGTAGGCTCTAAAGACTGTTTGATTTCGTTTGGCATTTGTCCAATGAATCATTTCTTGCACAGTATATAATTTTGTTGTCAAATGATTGTGTTTTATTTTTATTTTCTCTAGGTGTACTTTTTGTCTTATGCTCATGTTTGTCCGTTTTTTTTTTCTTTTGAGTCCTTTAGAGTATTATTTTATATTGTTTGAGTGCTACGTAAATGAAAAATCTTTATCTTTTAACTGAACTTGTTCATGTTAATGGGGACTTCAAGTAAAAGAAAATACTTCCTAAAACAACTTTCAAAGTAAAAATAAATAAATATGTAATACAAGAGAACCACTGAACTAAACCTTCTGCAATATTTGTTATGCCAAACTTTCAGGGGGTGGGGGGGGGGGGG